GCTCTATCACTCTCACAGTAAAGAAGTTCTTCCTGATGTTAACCTGGAACCTTCTATGCTCCAGTCTACACCCATTGCCCCTTGTCCTATCACTGGATATCACTGAAAAAAGCCTATACTCATATTCAGAGTTAAAGATAACTTTCTGAACTTAATATCTGGTGATGAATTTCTTCAGTACTAATTTTTGGGGCAAATACCACAGCACTTTCCATTAATTTAAAAATAAGCCTAGTCTGTGATTTTTAGCAATATTTAGGCAGATTTTGAATGCATTTTGTTAAAAATCAGATCCTAGACTACCATTTACAGTGACAAAATTAAGCATCTATAAAGTCTCACTCCATATCCTTGATGGCTTCAGAGCTTTAGTTATCTCAGAAGTCTGAAAATGTGTTTTTGGTAAGTAGACTATTGAAAGGGGCAACATTTATCAAATTAAGTGCAATCTAATTGCCACCTGCAATAAAAGACAACAAATCATGACAAATATTTGGAGATGAGGAGCCTTGGATGATTGATTGATTAATTTATTTTTTGTTTGTCTGGAGTTGTGGGTTTTTTTTTCCATTGATCGTGTCACAGTCTCCCTGGACTGTAAGTCAACCAAAACTTAAACTACCAAAATATAACTACTTTCTGTCTTGCGCTTTCTGAATGTCTCTCTATTCTTTCAACTACAGAGAAACTGAGATGTTTTCTACAGCATAGTATTGTGCAACAGCAGAGCTGCTGGTTGCCAGCTGCTTTTAACTAGGGTTTGTTTTACTAGGGTGTTTTTGGGGTTTTTTTGTTTTGTTTTGGTTTTTTTGGTTGCAGCCTTACAGATTGTATCCACACAGATATATACGGCAAAACATTTTGTTTGGTAATGTCTGTAGTTTGGATCAAATTGGATCCAATACTTAAAAGCAAAATATTGATGGATTCAACAGAGGCTCTTAACCTAAATGTTGTTTGGTAACTTCCTCAGTCTCCTAGATATTTACAGTACCTTTCCATTTCTGTTAAAGAAAAAATGTGACAGAAAGAGATTGAACCTGAGAAGTTCCGTGCTTGCATATGTGATTGCATCATCGTTGAGTCATGATATGTTATTTCATTATGAGGGAACTTTATTGTTTCAGGGCTGTTTTGTCACTATTTTCATGTACATCTTTAGCTAAAATCTCAGTAATTTGGAAGCATTTCAGAGGCATAATGTAGTTGTTACTGTTAAATATTGCACACAGTTGATTTATACTCTCTCAACTGCGGCAGCTCATCTCACACATTTGAAGCCTTAATCTGTTAAGGGACAGCAGTTATTGGGGAAATGGGTATGTTGTGTTTGGGAGTATCTGTATATGTAATGTACAGAAGTGGTGTTCAGTCATTGAATTTGACAAGTACTGAACACCAAGAATTTAAAGACAGCTTAATCTTCAGTTGTGCTGAGCTTTGATGAATAGTGCATGCATTCACCTTTCCTGAGAAAATTCAGTTATAGTTGGAGAAGCATGGGAATATATTCAAGGTGTCATCAGACAATGTCCCTCATGAAAACTGGAAGAAATTAATTTTTTTATAACATACAATAAGATGGCAACTCAGCACTGAGGATTGCCTCAGGTTAAAAATTACTTATTTCCCCAAAAGGGAAGAGTTATGAGAGAAGTTCTAATAACTATTCACTTTATACTCACAAAGGTTGCCAACAGTAATCCTCATAGCTAGCGCAAAATAACCCTGGAAAAAATCCTTAATTGTACTTGCCAATAGAAGAGAGGTGCTACCTACTTTTTATATAAGCAGGTTTTGGGTAGAACTGTACATCTGGGAAATAAGCCTTATATCCTCAAAATACCTGGAAAACAAAGAAAAAAATTGTTTAAGTATTAACAAGTACATTCTCTGCCTTCTCAGCATGTTGTTTCATTTGCTAGCATGCTTCTACATCATTAGAAGATACCAAAAAATTTTATTTTCATACTTACAGAGTTCTGCAGATAGATAAATACCTCTGTATCATATAACTATTAAAATTATTTTCTTCATTCAGTAGTTTACATGCAAATGCAGTATAGTTTCTGAAGCATTTTTCTGTCTTCTAGTGCATATATTACCTGTAGAGGATGGAATGTATTACAAAGAAGGTGCAATCAACCAAAGCCCATAAACGGTCTATCAGAATGAAAACTCATAGGGATCTGTTGATACCATTAAATGGTATCAACATTAATAATATAATGTATAATAAGCTACAAAACTTATGGGAGACTCCAACAATTTCCTTTCTGTGATAAAGCATGTTAAAATCATGAAGGCAGTGACTTGAAATACAAGCATGGATTTGAACCTTACTCAGAGCTTCCAAGGTGCTCAAGCCAAATTTAGTGGTTAGCTGTGTGCCTCTTTATAGTCATATCATAAATTTACAGACAGGATTAAAAAAAAAAAAAAAGAAAAATAAAGGACGTGAGAGAGAGCTATTTAATGGTTCATTCATAAAATATGTCTGTATGGAGGTTATGAAGCTCTGCCAAAGAGCAAGAGGAGTTCTTTGCGAAGCATCTACGGTTATTTAACTTGAATCGAAAGAGTAAATGAGACTGTTTTTACACAGAATTTGGTAGTTGCTTATACATGATTAATTCTCACACTGACACAAATGTTGATGTGAAGGCTATATCTATATATTTATTTAAATATTTGATTTACAAGATGTATGATGATTTTGCTTTAAGCGTGGATCAAGATACTATTTAAAGCATTCTTAAAAAGCAACCAACTCAGTGTTAGACCCTTTTGGTTATAGAAGTAGGGATTTAGCTACTAGTAATTAACTGGAGTATCTTTATTAGTTATGAAAAGGTGGAAATGCAAAAACTCTGCACAGTTGTAGCTATACTTTAAATATTGCATGTTCACCTGAAACAAGCTATTTTTGAAATACTTTTTTGTCTGTTGGAGCTCTTTCCTTGAGACTTTGTGATGCCTTAACTGTAACTGCTAATTTCTATGGAAATACTATCAGAATGATTAATTAGACTGGGAAAATCTATCTTTGTTGTCAAAACCTTTTAATGTACTGTACCACCTTTGTATACACGGCAGTAATAACTATTTCTGTTAAATATTAAAGAAGAAAAGAATTTGATAAGGTGGTTGGCTTTTGTCACCTTTCTGACAATATAGTTTTAATTATGTTTACTTGTTTGACTAACCTGGAGCTGCTGAAGTTGTTAGAAGTTGCTTCAAAAGTGTAAAGTGTCACTGAGATTTATTTGACAACTATATCCTACCATATAAAATATAGCAGAAAAATATGGAAAATGTAAAGGAGAAAATAACCTGACTATATCTGCAAAAGCTTAAGTAAAATGCATCAGTAATGGTGTTAATCTGAGATGAAATCCAGCTGAAACAGGATTTATGGTCAGTATCTTTAGCCTAGAACATAAACAGTTTAATGTAAAATATAAGCCCTTGCCAAGTATACCTTCAGCTCAGGGACCATGTAGGTGGGAATAGGCTGCATATGTAACTGGGGACTGGGTCATAAGGACAGGGCATCAGATCTGCACGGGAGCACAGTGTGATGTGAGAGTCGTCCCATGCTGCTTCCGGGGTGGAGGTGCTGCGCAAGAGGCACTTTCCATCACCAGGAGTAATCCTAAACCGCCTCTTCCATTTCTTATGCCACTGTTTATTTTCTAAATTTATTCTAAACTGTCATTGAGGCTTTGTTTATTTTGCTTTGGCGCAAAGGAGAGAGGAGGGAGGAAAGAACTAAAAAATACTATCATGCACTTTTTACATTATTACTCATAGCTATTTAGCAGGAAGCTGGCAATTCTGTTCTTTCAAATATTTCAGGGTTCCAACAACTTGGGACAAGTGAGGAAGACAAGCAGTCTATGATGTGTTTCACCTCTCTCCTCTGACCATGCACTTATTTTCCCTTTCACTGACTTGAATATCTTTTATCAAGGCATATACCATTATAGCTACTGACATTGACAGAAATTTTGGAATTTCCTATACTTAGATTTTTAAATACTTACTAAGTTTTGCCTAACAAGATTTCAAAAATTCACTTTTTTGGCTGTGCTAAAGATACATGATTTCAGATGTAAATTGATTGCACTGAGGTTGAGTGGCATGCAGACTATTTTGAGTGTTAGAGGGAGTCTCAGCTTTGTCATTGAAATAAGCAGACATTGCCAAGACTTTGACTATCTTCAGAACCATGCACTTGATTGTGGAACTGGCTATCCACAAGCTGCAGAATTTGATGGGCTACTAACACAATCTCCCATGGCACATGTAGGCTTCATGTGCTTTATGCTGTATTGTAAGCATGGCAGCAACTACTATCATTTTAAAGACCGAGAACGAGGAAGCTTTCTTCCACAAATATGTACATATTTGTCTCTCTCTGAGTGTAATGTACAGTGAATGTACAGTAAAAACTACAGTAGAACAATCTTTTGGAGATTTAAAATGAAATAGCATTGTAAGTCTATAGCTATTGGGATTTTTATTGATGTTCTTATTAGTGGTATTCTAGTAAGTTATATTTAGAAATGTTAAAAAATGCAACTTCTTGTTCAGGTGTTAGCTTTGTGTACTGCTCATCACTTTGTTAGAGCATGGGTGTTATTACAGGAATTTGCTGGCCATCTTGCCTTGAAAGCCATCAAATGTTTTGCCATAGATTTCACTGATGTGGTTACAGGAACTGTATACTTGGGATTTGAGGATAGTAAACATTATAATCATAACATAAGATGATTGCATGAGGTAACTGCCTTGCCAGCTGCTTGTGGTTAGGAACAGAGCTGTCTTCTGCAACACATTCACAATTTGTACTTTCTTCATTGTTGACTTGCAGTGTACTCTTTGCTGCTGCTCCCAGGAGCAACAGGACTCACTATTTAAAGGGTGAGTTTTATGCACAACTGAGGTTCATCTTCCATTCTAATCTGTATTTCCTGTGGTTTTGTTCCCTCTTTCAGGAGGATACAGATCATAATTATTATACTTCAAGGACTTATGGCCCATATGATTCTACCAGCCGGGATTTGTGGGTCAATATAGACCAAATGGAAAAAGACAAAGTAAAGATTCATGGAATCCTTTCCAATACCCATCGGCAAGCAGCAGTAAGTTTTTATACCTTTTCCTTCTTTGACTGACAGATATTTTTCACCAGTGACCAACAGTAGTATTATTAAGTATTGTGACAGCTGTTCACACAGCTTTATCTTTGAATTTTAGTCAAACTGTGGAAGTCTGCACAGCATTGTAGTGATTCCAGATTGCCTTTTTGCACCTACTGTGACAGTCCTTCAGAGATGCCTTTATAGTTATAGTTAAAATTCACCTCTGTTCTTAAGGATCACAAACTGTAAAATAATAAACTAGTTGTGTTGTTTATGTCAGAGGAAATGCCACTGACATCAATAGCAACAGAACTGGGTCCAGGATTAGGTTGCTCAAGTTTGTCTCCCATGGGGTGCATGTGTTTGCACTCCATTTTGTAGGAGTTGTTGCACTTTTTTTTTTTTCTTTTGGGAGAACTGAGGAAATTCATCCGTATGTCAGATAGTAACAGAAGTGATAGATGTGATTGCAGTTTCAGGGCATTAACAAAGAAATGTCACAGAATGCAAATAATGATCTTTTTTAACCTATTGTAATCATGCTGCCTGGTAAAATGGGTATGAAAATAATGGGCTTACATGCTTAGAAGTTAAATGGAATGCTGTGTGATTTACAGAATGTGTTCTCACTTTTCACCTGTGGCTGGAAACTGCATACATAAAGAGCCAATATTAGCACAAATCAAACACGGAAAATTACAAGTTGGAATTGTGGTTCAGGAGGTTCTTTTTTCATCCGTTCACCAACTTAGCTACAACAAAAAGTCCTTGGGTTTTGCCAGTTTAAAAACAAAATCTAGTTAATGCCTTATTTAAAAGCTTTTAAAGAGTCAGGTGTGTTTAACTGTTTTAAAGCTAAGAGAAAAGCCAAGTTTAAATCATCTTCTGTCTCAGTCTGTTATCTCCCTGGCACCAGCTAGGTGACTGGCTCAGAGGAACATGAAAGGCAGAAAGAAGGAATACTGTGGTATTTACCTTCAAATACAAAAAACCGAGTCGTGATAAATCCACTCCAACAGAGTCCAATATATTAAATATATTCATCATAGCCGAAAAGACTAAGGATAATGCAAATGCAGAGGGTTAGGCAGTTATATAACTTTGAAGAAGATTTAATAAAACACTGTATCAGCTATTTCCTCAAGACAGTTTGTTTCTAATGAGAAAAAATCCTCAAGGGTACCTAAAAGAGGACCTGTATTCTCTGCCTTGCCTTCTTCATCTGGGATCGAGGGAAGAGAATGGAAACATGTAAAAAAAATGTAACATATTAAAATTATCTATATAAGATGAAACACCCTTTGCTAATAAAAGTAATTTATGAGAATTAGGACCTAAACATTAGTGAGATTCCTTTGAGAAATTTTAACCTACTGTTTAATGATTAGTAAAGATGACATCCTTCTACACTTTAGTTTTAAGCACTTTTGTTTTAAGCACTTTTGTTTCCAGTTGGATCCCTGAGATTATACACTTTAAAATGTCAGTTCCAAGGGGGACACTTTAAGTTATTGAACCAGAGGTTTAAAATGAAACAATGCTTTTGATCTGGGGGTGGTATCAGTGTGGAGGACCATTCAGCAAGGCAGAGGGTAGCTTGGCAGCATGAGGACTTCAGCTGTTTCTCCCCAAAACAAGTGGTTTAGGACTTCTGCTGAATATCAAGTGCCCACTCCGCCTTTCTGACAGCTGTAGCAGAGAAGGCTGTGGTCCAAGTTTAACACACTGATATCCATCTCTTTTCATCCTTACCCAGGTACCCTGGACTGTGAACTCAAGTGGCTGCAGCCATGTCTCCCTACTGGTCGAAACACCTCTTTTTCAGAAATTAGTTTTATGTTTCTCCAGACACACTTTTACAGTGTGTCATCCTTTAAAATTTTGTATTTTATTTATGTGTCTGGAATTGTTGGGTTGTTGTTTTTTTTTTATGTGTCTGAGCAATAAACACCCATGGGTATTACACAACGAACTTATTTATATAAGACCTGGATAACAAATATAGAATCGTGTATTCTGAGCAGATCATGCATAACTAAGCATAAATCTCTTCCTTTCTCTTCCATAAAATTTGCTATTACTCTTTTTTAAAAGGCCATTTTGCACAACTTCCTGTGACTTGGTGATTTTACATACTGATAATTTTCAAAGATTTTTTTCCAATTTGACAGTAGAATAAGGAGTTAAATATATGCTAAGTATTAACGATTTTTTCTAATAATGTCAGGGATTCTTTGAATCCTAAACATTTCACACTAAATTTGTGTGTTTTCTTTCATTTGGAAGTATGTAATCCTAAGAGTTCCCAGCAGCTGCCAGTTGGCTTTGCTTCTACAGGAAAAGTAATAAAAAGAGGATCCATGAGATGGTTTGGCTCTAAAAACAGCATAGTCATTGTCTGGGGAAAGTAATACACAGATACAATTAAAATGTCTAGTGCTACAGGATTTGTGTCACTAAAAGTAGGGGGTTTTGTTGTTTTCAATATGTTGCCACCAGCTTCTTAACAGTAAAATAAAATGTTAGGCCTGGCTTGGATGCTCATTGTATTCAGATTAGATATCTAATAGTTGATTACTCAGCCACTGAACTAGATACAGGAAATAAAATATACTAGATACTTGAAACTCAATTCTCAGTCAGTCTATTCCATCATTTATGCATGGAGAAAAACATTTTTATTCCAGTAGGTTGAAAATTCGGATATTCTGTCTGAAAAATGAGGTATGCTTTCTAGCAGCAAAAGGAAAAGCACATTTATTTCTAGTGGCCGTTAACACTCATTAAATATTGTCAGTTCTTTATTCTAAATAATTGTCTATATTAAACATTTTTACCTTATCAGAATTTAATGCATCACTTTTTGAAAGAAATCAAGGGGAGTTCTATACCTGGCTTGAGTGGGCAAAGTATTAAGTCTTTGTGACAAACATGTTTATACTAGTGTTTGTATTATATCAATTTAGGAGACTGTTAAGGGTCACAGCTTTCTTTTGAAGCAGTTTAATCATTATTGTGTTATTCAGAAAGCTGATGCTGATAGGTAGAATGTACAACAGTGTATAAAGGAAAGATGGAATATTTGGTCGGAATACTAATTTTCAGGAACCCTTTTAAATACATCATGTTTGATAGAGTAAGGGCATAATTTAAGTGGACCACATACATAATAAATACAGCATACATCTTAGCAATAAAAACTTTTCAGAACATGGTAAAAAAAATATTTGAAGTTCATTCATGAGCTTTTGCATATGCCATTTTGATTAGAAATACTCAGTTGTATATCCATGTTTATGTATATACAGAAAAGGTCATGATAACCTACTCAGTCCAATTAACACAATGCAAATGGATTTTTGTATTCTAATTAAAACCAAAAAAAAACTGTTAATAAATTCTGTCAAAACTCTGTCTTCCACTTAAGTGCAAAGCAAATCTAATTTAAAGCTACTGTAAATCTTCAGCTGTTAATTTCATTCTAAATAATTCTTTAAATGTTTCTAGTGGATGTAAATAAAATTCTTCCTGAGCAAAGGAATACTCATATATACTCTGAAAATGTTAAACTCAGGATAGAAACAATGGTAGGGAAAAAGAAGGAAAAAGGGAGTGGGGGAAGCATTTTGCCTTTATTGAATGTACAGACTGTTACTCTTTCTTAAATGGAGACATCAAAGGTTAGGGTTGAGGGACAATTTTCAAAAACCCATCTTCACACCAATTTTTAATGTAGTAACTCCTCCTAAATAACAAATAATAATGGTCTGCATACCCTCTTCCTATTTGGGTTTCAGGCAATTATGGAAATTATTTGGGTTTTATGGGATATAACATTTAAACAGTGAAAAGTCCTTACAGTGGTTTCAGAACTCCTTTCTGTCATAACTACCGATTTCTTCAGAGCTTAGCCAAATAGTACACCAGGTGATAGTTACTGGTTGCCACAGTAATCAGTAAGCTTTGGAAAGGTGTGGAATAGGTGCGAGAGAGCCACAGATGGAGAGGGAAAATTAGTTGAATTTGAATGGTGCTTTATGGTAAGATTAGGTGAGGAGAAGAGTGTTCTCCAAATTACAGTTCTCTGCTGTGAGTTCAGCTATAGATGATAGTCACCTGTAGGCTGACTGGGGAGAAAAAAGAAAAAAAAAATGTTTGGTTTTGTTTTTTAATTATTTTTCAGTAAGCACCATAAGTAAAGTTTGTTAATTTTCCATTGAATATTTCTTTATAAAAAATTTCAGCTCCTAATAACCAGTATAGAGAGGTTTAGAAACTGATGTCCTGTGGGTTTGATGGAGGGATTGGTCTCCAGTAACCAGCCTTCATCAGATAAGCACCCAGGTAGCAGCAGGATGTCAGGGAGAACACTTGAATGTGAAAGAGCATGTGGCAAAGGAGCAAACAACCCGTGGCAAAGGGAATGGGCATCTTGTAAAACTTAGATATTGGTAAGGCTGAAATATTGATGCCTCCTTTTAAGAGGTCAAAGCAACACTTTTTTAAGGAAAAACTCTACAAATCTTTATTAGTTTTATTCTTATGAAAGTGTTATAATGCCTGCTGATGTATTTTATCTTCTGAAGTCTTCAGTTACGAAGAGCCACTGCTTTCAGGTGTTTAAGTGCTACACAGAATTGTTTCCAGTTAGCTATTGACAATTCCAAATTAAGATTAGCAAGGCTCCAGTGAAAAATAAAAAGCAATGAAACAGATGTTCAAAGTGGAGATTTTTTTTTGTTTTCTCTTGCCTGTCTGCACAATATCGATATTATTTTCTGGTGCTGTTTCTTTCAGAGAGTGAATCTGTCCTTCGATTTTCCATTTTATGGCCATTTTCTCCGTGAAATTACTGTGGCAACTGGGGGTAAGTAGCTCTCTAACCATTTACTTTGAGTAATATGAGAAGAGTTTCTTGCAGCTTTTTAAAATACCTTTTTTTTTTTAACACCTGTATATGTCAAGAGACAAACTGCAGCATTTGTTTAGGAAATTTTGCTTTCCACAAAAGGAAACTTACAAAATATCAATATGATGAAAAACCTCCAACTGCTGAAGTTGGACTGTTCTAAAACTCTCATCATAAGACTTTTTACTTTTAAACATTTTCTGTTTAGATGTTTCCCCTCCAAGATCTTTTTTGCTTGTCGGGAGAAGTTGCATTTACAGAGGTAGTGCTGGTGCCAAAACAAGGAGGGAAACTTAGTTTTTTGCCTGCATGAGGTCAGGGCATTTCTCATCCTAACATAAGAAGTGCTGCTAGAAGTACATAACTCGTCACCTGGTAAGCAAACCCATTTTAGTGTATTGCCTTGGTGTGGTACAGTGTCTGTAAAAGTACGATGGCATTCCTCTCCCCATTCTGTGGGTTAAGATGGGAGGTATGGTACAGCTTAAGCTCTTAGTCCTATAGTTCTGGGAATCACTGATGGCTTGTGGTTAGGTTTTCCCTCCCACTCCTGCTCACATTGATCTCCTGTGCTAGGAAGAGCTTACCTCCCACTCCACCTCCTTGAGAGACAAAGAGGAGACCAGAGAAAAATGAAATATATGGAAAACAACAGATAAAAAAAGGAGGAGGAGTGATGATCAAAAAATGAGAACAGGGAGGCAGAGAGCAGCGTCACAGGGCATACACCCCATGACATCCCCTCATCCTTGAATGTGTCTAGCAAGTTCATGGACTCTGGCTGGTGGTGCTCTTCCTTAGAGTTGATAGAGGACAAGTAGACAGAGATAGGGGCCACCATCACCAGGACAAATCCTACCCTAATCAAGGTTTCTCTTCATTCTATGTGTCTCCATCTGGCCAGAAGTAGGAAATGCCCATGTCCCCCTGGAGTTCTGAATGGGGATGGTGTCACTTAAAGATTAGGGAAGAATTGCAGCTACTGTCTCAACAAGTGTAGGAGCTGGAACAAAGATTTCTCTGTGTTTGAATCTTCATTTTACTATAAAAGTGGAAGAGCACAAGAGATGGGCACAGCTGAATAAAGGGTGTTATTAAATGGCTGATTTGCAGTCAGAATGATAAAGAATATGCAGAATTATGGGTGACTTCAGTACCAGGGTTTTCTCTTCTTGATCAGCAGTGACATTTTGATGCTGATTTGGATCAGATGAGCCATGAACTACTGACTGAGACTTGTCTGATTTCCATTCTGCTTTGGTTTTAGTTTCATTTTGGTGCTTGATGATCAATGCCTAGTTCTGTATTTTCCTAGTAGAGGAGTTGCATTTGTTCCAGTGCCAAAATCAAGTACATGATCTGTGTAGCATGAAAAAATGGGTTGGGATGCATCCTGCACAGCTAAAATAGCAGTAGTGGGGACAGTGATCATTCTGCAAATGCGCCCTTATTCTCATGAGTGAACTTGGTTCCTTAAAAATTTATGAGGTTCACTCTTCCTCCAATTAATTTTTCATGTGTGGTCACTCTACTGGGCCTTCCCTTTTAATGGATTTTTACCACTGCTGTCACTAGTATGCTGTAGTCATCAGTCTCCCCATCTGCCCCCGAAGTCTTGGGAGTAAAGTTAAGCTCCCAAGGAGAACTTTGTAGTAATACATTGTGAGTGAAACTTTTTTTCTTTTCCTCTTGGTGTACAGCATTTGGGAAATTTGGGTGGTTTGGGGTTTTTTTGCTTTTGTTTTTGTGTTTGTTTTATTTTACTCTTTGAAACATGTAAGCATAGAAGAATAGATGCACCTCTACACCACTCTTGCTGTTAAAACACACAATGACGATTCTGCTTTTCTTTTGCTCCATTTCTACTAAATAAAATCAGGCTGTGAATAATCTGTGAATTGTTGTTGAGCTAAATAGGACTTTAACATCAGCCCTTTTACTCTAGGCCATTGGTATTAGCACAGGGATACTTTGGTCTTTTATATGACACTTACATGATTTTCAGCCTCAAAATTAAGCATGAAAAAGTAAGATCTGGTCAGCAATAGCTTTAAAAAATTTTATCTTGATAAAGCCCAGTAACAGTAAGTTCTCCTGTCTATCAAGGACAGGATAAAACCTTTTCTACTATTTTGATTCCTAAACCCATTTAGAGGGAAAAGATCGATCTATTTCTGTCCTAGCTCTCTGACAAATGTTCTGCTCTGGCTATATTTGAAGATTTTGTCACAAGTCGTTGGTTGTACAGTGACCTTGGCTGGATGTCAGGTGCCCACCAAGCTGCTTTATCACTCTCCTCCTCAGCTGGACAAGAGGTAGAGAAAATGGAAAACAAAACCCTCATGGGTCAAGATAAAGGCACTTTAACAAAGCAAAAGTAAAGGTCGTGCATAGAAGCAAAGGAAAAGATTTTATTCTCTACTTCCCATCAGCAGTCAGTGTCCCGTGAAGCAGGGATACAGTACGTGTAGCAGTTGCTCTTCAAGACAAACCTTGTAAATAACGATTCCCCCTTGCTTCCAAAACCTTGCTGCACAAACCTAACATACACAATGTGGCTTATAGCCTGTCAACAAAGGATAAAAAGAGGTTCCATGCACCAGTTGTACTGTGTGCTCTATTATTCCTTAGTAATCAAGATTTGCAATGGTATTACTATTATTGTAGATCTGGACTATTTCCAGAGGTTATTCTGAAATCCAAAGCATGAGAGAGTTAATGTGTACAGGAGTCCCACATGACAGATGTCCGCTTCCTGGAGAGCAGTATATGATTAATTTTGCTAATGACAACACTACAAACTGTTTTTACTTCCGAATCATAAATCAAATAACCTTGTTGAAAGGAAAGTTGAGGACAATGGCACATTAAATCCCTATCATAATAAAAATGTCTACCAAAATAGTTTCTGTCATTCTTCATGGAGGGTTCATTGTGGCACAGTAGGGTTTCCAAGTTAGTTAAGATGACTTCGAAATTGCTGTGGTATAAAACTCATTTTTTTTTCCTTTTCCTCTCTTTGCCTAATATTTGTTTTCTTTTCCAAATGGTTTTTGATCTGATTGCGGATTATGAAAGCAATGACAGGGAGTTAAAATAACTAGTTCTAGGTCTTCATTCACTGTTGTCCTTAGCTTGTATTTGATAAGGGTATTGAATTTGTAACCAGTATATAAGAGATCTTATAGTAGAATTAACATAGAAATGTTTTAATTTATGGTTCTTTGTGGTATGAACATCCATCTCCCCACATTGCTATGGGAGCATGTTTTTTTAAGCAACCTGTGAAGAGCAATCAAAGCCTTAATAGTAGATAACATAAGAAGCTGAGTTTTGTTTTCCAGGAAGCTTTCTAAAGTTGGTGCTCCACAGGCCGAAAGTGTGGTTATTTCTGTAATAAGCCACTAATTAGTGACTCATGTTTTGAATGTCAGGGAGCTAAGTACATGAAATCTCTTTGTTGCCACTCACTGACATCCCTGTGGCTGTGGAGGTGGGAAAACCTCCTCTGTGCTTCAGCTCTCCAGGCATTAACACAGCCCTTCTCACAGGAGACCTGGAAGTTCTGTGGCCCTGCATCCTACTTAACATGCAGCAGTGCTTCATACTTGGTTGTATTATTTTCTGGGGCTAATTTTTTTGTTTATTGCCCTATTTTTCTAGTGCAGCTTTGTATCAGATGCTGTTAAATTATTTAGCAATATTTTTCCTTGTATGGCATCTCTCATTGTTACATTTCTCTATGGTCTTGGTATGCTTATAGCATCATTACAGAGGAGGGTGGTAGTTAACCCGGATTATTATTGATTTTCATTTAACCTTATATTTATTGCCTGGGATTGTTGTGCTTTAACCCCAGCCAGCAGGATAGAGGAGGGAATCGGAAAAGTGAGTGAACTCTTGGGTTCAGATAAAGACAGTTTAATAGGTAAAGCAAAAGCTGCTCACACAAGCAAAGCAAAACAAGGAATTAATTCACCACTTCCCATGGGCAGGCAGCTATTCAGTCATCTCCAGGAAAGCAGGAATCCATCACACATAATAGCTACTTTGAAAGGGATCATCATTCCAAACATTCCCTCCTTCATCCCCCAGCTTTACACGCTAAGTGTGACATTAGTATGGAATATTCCTTGAGTCAGTTGGGCTTAGCTGCCCTGTGTATATCTCCTCCCAGTTTCTTGTGCACCCCCTTGGTGGTGGGGTGGGGTAGGGTAAGGAGCAGAAAAGGCCTTGACTGTGTGAGCACTGCTCAGCAATAATGAAAACGTTCCTGAATTATCAATAAAAACATTCCTGAATTTATCAATGGTGGTGTTCCAAAGTGTGACATTAGTATGGAATATTCCTTGAGTCAGTTGGGCTTAGCTGCCCTGTGTATATCTCCTCCCAGTTTCTTGTGCACCCCCTTGGTGGTGGGGTGGGGTAGGGTAAGGAGCAGAAAAGGCCTTGACTGTGTGAGCACTGCTCAGCAATAATGAAAACGTTCCTGAATTATCAATAAAAACATTCCTGAATTTATCAATGGTGGTGTTCCAAAACATAGCCCCATACTAGCTCCTATGAAGAAAATTAACTCTTATCCTAGCAAAAACCAGCACAGGGATTAAAAAAGGTTTTAATTTTCAATTTGGGAGTTTATCCTGGTAGTTCAAATCATCGAGTTCATGAGGGGTCTTAAAGCAGTTTTAGTCTCTGTTCTATCTATGGAATTAACTGAGTATTGTTGTATATAAGCTGTAAATCAAGAATATTCAATAGAACTAAACTGCTGAGTAACATAAAACATTTTTTATTTTCACATTTATCTATAGATGTTTGGAAACAGCAAGGGAAACAGCAAATAAAAAAATAGTTCTGTATTATCATATACTGGGAAAAGAATGTATGGTCATGGAACTTTTCTCTAGAATTCTGTTATCAAGGTAATAGCTAAGCAGTTGTTTATAAGAGAATAC